CTCCGCGTTCTGTGAAGCTGTGGGGATGTCCCTTTGCTCGGGGTGCGGGGTGACGTGCTCTATTTGGGGAAAAAAAAAGGAAAACAACAGCAAAAAATCCTAACGTGTCCGGCCTGAATCCTCCGTGCAGACAAACTGCTCGCTTTGGGTAGCGCTTGGGGCTGTCATGTGGGATAACTCTTTCACTTTAGCAGAGAGATGAGGTGACCGCGATGCAAAGGTTTCCTTCACAAGCCTCTGCCTCTGACTACCAAAGCAGCCCCATCTGGTCACAGGAGCCATCGGGTCGGATGGACTCTGGGGTGCCCAGGAGTTTCAGAAAAACGTAGTCGGTGGCGGGGAGGTAATAGCGGAGCGGTGTGTGCACGTGTGTAAAAACACAGTGAATCTCCTGGCATGTACTGTGAAGTGAGGTGGCTGCCCACAAGCTTTGGTCACCAGCTCCTGTTCTCACCAGCTCCTGTTCTCACCATGCTTAGCGTCTCTGGTGCCCACACTCATTCTTGACCTGTTCCATCTCTGTCGTGTTCATCTGCCATGGTCAATCGCTTGTTTAAATTTGCTGTAAGTGAGGCCTTGCTCCCTCCCTTACCTGTGGATATATGTAACATGAGGCTTGTTTTGTTCCCAGGAGCTGTGTTCCAGCCCCCAGTTCATAGCTGGTGGAGCCACGCGCACAGACATCTGCCAAGGGGCTTTAGGTAAGGTGAAGGCAGAAAGCTGAGTTTTCCATGCAGGTGCTGCCCCAGGACACCACTGCCTGTACTAGGCTATAGCTCACTCTGCAAATACATCCTTTTGCATCCTACGCCTCTCTTCATATCAGATCGGATCTTTCTTGCCTGTCCTTGTCAACTGCAGATAGTGCCTCTGGCTGCTGAGCACAGCCTTGCTGTGTGCACTGAGCATGGATGATGCAGACTGGTTTCCTGAAGGCTTTTCTGCTCCCTTCCAGTTCCTTTTGTGTCTGCATCTGTGTGCCTGAGAGTAGTTTGGCTAATTCCTGCCTTTAACAGTCTGCTTACAAGAGCAGCTGAATGTGTAGCAAAGTGTTTCCCCAGTGGAAGAGAGTGCTGCTGAGCAGGAGGGACCTCCTGAAACCTGGAAAGATGCAGTATGGAGAAAAGAGATGATACGGAGAGATGATAGAGATTCTCAGCTGCTCACCAGCTCTTGAAGAAAACAAAACTGCAGTATTTCAGGAAGGATGAGCCAGCTTGTGAGCACGCTGCTTTTTCCATGGCTGCCACTCAGATTGTACAGCCCCTGGGTCAGCAGCTCTGAAAGAGCTCCAGAAGCTGTGGGGAAGCCCCGAGGGAAAAACAGGAAGCAGGTGGCTTAACCTGGCTGTGTGTGCATGGCCATCCCAGTCTCGAAGCCTCTATCCTGCCTGGCCCACCAGAAGGGGTTTTTTTAAGCCAGAGCCAGCATGGAGGCTAACAAGGAGGGCAGCTGTGGGGATGTGAGAGGGAATAAGCCAAAATGGAAGCAGTGAGGCTCTTACTCCGTAACTGCATGGAGAGGGGTTTAGATCAGACTGATCGCATGGCTGAGGGAAAGGCCTCAGGGTAGGGAAATGTGACTAATATGTGCCACGTGCTGTGCTTATGCAGTGAAGTTATGTTGTTTGCTTTTCATCAGAATAATAGTAGCCAGCTTCTTAGTTTCTAGTCCCGCTGCTACTCTTTGTGGTTTTGTGTCCAAAAATATAACAGATAGGGAAGTTTATTTCATGTGTTTTGTGGTTATGGTTTTTTTGCAGAGGTTACTCAAGTTGGTACTTTAACACCTAGATACAATTTATATAAAAAGCCCTGATAATAAAAAAATACTTGGATTGTGAATTTGGTTCTCCTCATGCCTCAATATCGTCTGTGGCATGAATTAGGCTCCATTGTGTCATTGGTAAAGTCCTTGGCATGTCACCATCTTCTTTTGTGTGTTCTCTCTCTGCCTGATACCCTGTCTTCCACTGTGACTATTTTGGCATAAAGCATGTCCCAGTGCTTAGCACACATGCCACACATCTGTCCCCTTTTTTTTTTTTAAATGTACAACTTAACAGCTAAGGAGTTGTTCAGTGTGAAATGACAATTTATTGTAATGCATTTTCAAGAGCTGGCATTTGCATAGGTGCTCATTTCTGAATGCATTCAGTTGCTTTCTGTCTTCTGCAGGCTTCCGGCTTTTCTAGCCAGATGTGGCAGCAAGAGTGCTGAAATGAAAGATTTGTAAGTTAGTTTTCAAGTAGTAAAGTTGCTTTTGCAACCATGCCAAACCTTGTTGATGAAAGCATTTCTTGTCTGAATGGTCTTTCAGCCAGTCAGATGTGCTCATGAGGCTATACAGTACTACCAAAGGATATGAACTGATTTCACAGCTTGTGTTATTTTATCTCCTGAAACAATATTTGGATAGGAAGTTGTTAATGTGCTTGTTTGTATTACTTTTTTCACCATGGCTAGCTACTGCTAGCCCCCTGTCTTCTTATGAATCTGGTCAGGAGTTTGGTATTGTGTGACAGAATAGTGCTTTTGATCTTTTCTCTCTATAGCCACTGAGTTACCAAGAGCCTATGTTGAATCTCTGCATTTTCACACAATGAGGCTAGCAGATACGCTGTACAAATGTGGGGTTTTTTTCTCACAGTCTCATCTGAGACCAGCATTTGTGTCGATATATTTGCTTAAACTTCCATTTACTTGAACTTTTTGGGCTGACACTAATGTTCTGTCACATTTTGGGATGTTACAGAGAAGATTGCATGGGAAGATGTCAGGTGATCTTGGAAACCTTTACTTTTTATTGTGTTGCTCTGTTCCATAGGGAGCTTTTGTAGTCTTATTTATGCCCCAGAAGACTTGATCACAAAGCACCGGACCTGTAGCCACGTGGAGTTTCATCGCTGTAGCTAAGCTATTAAGAACATCTTGGAGTACCGCAGGGACAGATGAGGTGTCCAAAGAACACACGCACCCATCACTGCTGCCACAGGCTTCTGGGCAGGGGATGTGTAACTGAACAGCTTGGCTAACGAGCAGTGGTAGTTGTTCCTTTTAGCCTTTGGTCTGTGCACTGGATGCAGCCTGTAAAGTTGTTTCATTCTTTTTGACCTGGACTGCACGATACTGTGATGCATAAAAGGCGTAGCTGCTCGTCAGCACAGAAAACATTATCTCCTCAACAAAGCGACAGTTCATAAAGTTCTCTAGACATCAAAATTTTGCCCCTTGGGCTTTGGTTTATCCTTTATTCTGGTTTTGTTGCTTTTTAGGAGAAACTTTTAAAGGCAAGTCTTCGGAGTTAGTTTTGCAGTATCGGAGCTGAAGGCAATGGTGGTATTTGGCTCAGAATGGCAGTACATGGGATGTGGTGACTCATTAGAGCTGAGGGGAGGAAACAAAACCACTGCAGAGAGGAGGATTATTCACCCTTAACCGCCTTCTTTGGAAGGGATGTCACCATGGTATCACAACACTGAGGCGTACACAGCACAGTATCTCACATCTGCTGTGTAGACACAGATGTCTCCTCCTTAAATAATAATGTGCGGAAAAAAATATAATTGAGGATGATGAATTTATAAAATTAGATGCGTGGTTTTCCCATGCCAGCAACCACTGTACTGTAAAGTGGGTGGCCACAACCTCACGTTTCTAACTGGAAAACTTCCTGGAGTCTCATGGTATTAATATAAATACATTCAGTAGCTGTTAGCTATGAGTGTTTTAAAATAATGATGTGTCTGACTGGCTCTCTGTATATTTTTCTTTTGTCCTTGTACTCTTACATGGGCTGTGCAGTGACCAGAGAAGCTGCCTTTCACTTACAGCCCTCCAGATGCTACATGGGGATGCTTTGCTTGTCTTTGCTCTCTAGAATGGACAGTTTGAAGCCCTTATAGCTATTTAAGCTTGCCTTGCAATTCTGTTTTTTTGGTAATGCTCTTGTATATGGCTGGGTAAATGCAGAGATAAATGTATAGAAATAAGAAGTAAAACACCGATAGCAACAAAAAGGAAGTATGACAGGAAAAAACAGTACTTCTTGTCAATATAAACAGTGCTTCTTGTCAGTATAAAGAAACTCATAGCCTTATAATATTCCCTTTTCTGATAACCTTATTCTGCCTGTTGTATTGTGCATTTACAAAAATTCTTCATGATTAACCTAGACTTGCTAACACTCCTTTCAAATTCTTCACGTGAGTAACCTGTCTGTTAGCCTCATCTTGAAGTTTCCTTCTCTCTCAAAGGAAAGTCACTGTCAAGAGACTTACCAAAGTACTAGTTCTTACAGTTAAGACTATTTGGTAAAGATCCTGCTCAGGCTTACATAGCACAGGCTAAACCTCCAAGTATTATCACAAGATCCGTTCTCATCCAGGCTTTGAATTATTAGGTCTGCTTTTAGTGATGACTGTTCAGAAAGGGGGAGATGGTATCCTGACTGTTGAGCACTTTTAAATGTGGAAAACAAAGGGTGCTGTGTTTCCCATGGATGCCTTTTAACCTCGAGAAGACCTTGCCCAGAGTTGTCTGAGTTAAGATCTATATTTATCTGAGTCCAAATTGTCCTTAGAAACCAGCATAAAGTTCAACAGAGAAATTTTACAACTAAGTCTGCTGTTTCTTACTCTTCATGTCTGCCTTGATGGGACAGTTAGAAAGTAAAGGAAATTCTTTACAAACTCTGCTTATCAGCTTAGAGGTTGACTGAGGGGAGTTTCTACTCCTTAAACTTCAGTGTTCTTGCCTAAACGAGAAATCTGACTCAGAAGATCTGTTATAGCATTAAAGGGTGCATGCACTTAATCTAGATGCCTGAACAGCTTCTTGACCAAGGCTTCCTGAGCTGTGTGGTCATGTCAAGCTGTTCACTTATCCTGTCTGTGTTGCCTGCCCAGTCCCTTCCTTGTTTATGATATAGAAATTGTAATATTCCTTTGGAAGAGTGGTTGGACAGCAGCTCTCTGAACCGGACTTGCTGCTAATTTAAATCAGCACAGTGTTTCTGAGGGTAGTAATGTCAGTGTCTGGGGGTATCTTGTAGTGGCCGAGTTTCCCTGGTTGAGTAAGGCTGTGTAATGTGAACTCTGGTTTATGCTGCAGGTTGAGCAACTGAGAGGGAAAAACACCTCCACAGCTGACTGTGAGCAAGGAGCGTAGGACATGCCTCAAGCTGTTTCCACCCACCCGACAGAGCATGCACAAAGTGCCTCCAGCTCTGCCTGCAGCTTTGGTGCAGAAGCCAAGATCTGTATGGTTTTACCCAGCCGGGCCTTAGGACTAGCACAGCAGTGCTGAGCAGGCTGAGTTGCTTTCTTTTAGGCGTTATGTAATTTAGTCTGAATGAGAGCATGGATCTGCCTAACCATGTGAAGGCATCCTGGTAAGCATATCTGCAATGGCTTTAGCCTAGCTGGTGTAGGTCTGAGATTCCAAAGATTCACTTAGCTTCTGAGCTGTGCATCTCTCTCTGTAAAAGCCTCACAGAGCACGGCATGTGTTCCAGTGGTATTCTTATGCTCACAGAGGCACCTGTCTGCAGATCATCAGTTATATGGCCTCTGTGCTGAGATGAGACCAGTGAACCTATCTATCAGTTTGTACATATGTAACTTGTCTCATACCTGTTCCCAGTGTTCAGGGTGCTTTGAGATTGCTAATTGTTAGCAGTTAGAAGACTCACTAAGGATTGCTGACTTTTCCCCAGTGTGGGAAGCTGGAGCAGGAGCACAGTGGCAAAGCAGGGAGAATGAAGACCCCTGCTCTCTTACTTTTCCTTTTAGGATTTTGTTAGTCTTAAACAGCCAGCAGCTCCTCAGTGCTAGAAGAGGAATATTTGTGAGGGATGCCGAGGGTTACCTGCCTATGTGCAGTGCTGGGGTGTTGATGAAGAGTGCTCAGCTCTCCTGCGGTGTGTGCTGGTCCAACGCATGCACATATTTACATCCATTCCCTTCTCCCACAATGTCTCTGGAATCCAGTATTTCTACTGCCAAACACGTAACAACCCACTGCTCTCTTGACCCAGAAGAGTCCTGTCACAAGCAGCGATCTTTAACTCAGTAAGGCAACAGAAGGACTTTTTTTGTCTGGGTTAATGAGTTAACTTGCTGTGTGATGAGTGCCAGTGGGAGAAAAACAAGTTAAGGAGGAAGGAGTGGAGACAATATTATATTAATTCAGAGGTAGTACGGTATTAACTCAGGCTGGCCCCATGGGAGTCCCAGTCAAAGTGCCAGGGCTGATCTCTATCAGCCTGGGCTCTAGCAGCTCTGGGCTTGAAGAGATGGTTCACGTGTCTTCAACTTGCAATGCTACATGTGCTGCAGGACCCCTTTGTGGGCATCTGATGTGTAATACTGACTTTCCTGTGTTCAGAAAGCAAGGCAACAGCAGATAATGGCAACAAGGAATTTTGTGTTGGCCAGGGACTCAGCTCGGTCTTTAACTCTCTGATCAGCTTGCTAATGGGCTGCAGGAGGCCCACAGCTAAGCAGAAGGGTAACCGTTCTGTTAAAGTAACACTGGTTTCTGAAAATAATTACGAAAAATACAGGTAATGTTTATATAGTTGTGGTCCCCTTCTCTCTCTGCTTGGTAGGAGATGGTGTGAAAAAATACTATCCAGACAGCCTGGGCCCTGGGGCTCAGGCGTGCAGCCTTGGTGTGTGTTGGCTCCATCCCAGGAAGGGTGAAGAGGTGTGTGGGACTGGGGAACAGTGCCTGCCTTCAGACCTTCCCTGACTCTGGTGACGAGATGTGGGACTAAACAGAGAAGCCTCTGTCAAGGGCCTCCAGAGATGTACAGGGTGAAAGGAGCTCCTATTTGGTAGGAGGCTGGCAAGAGACCTTAAGGGGAACTTGTCCATAGGATAGGTCTCTGGATAGCAAGTAAACAGGCCTTTATTAAACATGGAGGTGGGAAAGGAAAACAGACTATTCTTGAGAAAATACTGGCCTTTTGAGGAGAAACTGCAGTCCTATGTACCTATGTCTGCCCACAAGCCCCTCTCTTTGCCTTTTCCCCATGCTGCTTCCTAACATGTAGACACTCAATTGAATATTAACTTTTCTTTCAGATAACTGTGTTGGTAGATCATAAAAAGCCTGCTTTTACTTTTTTTTTAAAAAAAAATACTTTAGTCTTGAGGAAGTGCAACACTTACCTAGAAGTGGTGGGTATTTGTGTACATACATTTGCTCTGCCTTAGAAGTGATGGGAGGGATCATCCTATCCCAGCTGTGCTGATTATTGGTTTTAGTGCACAGTCCCTATGCAGTCCAAAAACTATAGAATTAAGTCTGAATAATGAATGGAATTTTTCTCTCTTTCTGTCCTGCTTTACAGGTGACTGTTGGCTCTTGGCTGCTATTGCCTCTCTCACCCTGAATGAAGAAATTCTGGCCCGTGTTGTTCCCAAAGACCAGAGCTTCCAGGATAAATATGCAGGAATTTTCCACTTCCAGGTAGGTGGAAAACAGCCTTCCCTGTCAGTGCTGTTGTGCAGGAGCTGGTGTGGCTGGCTATATCTACATGTGTGGTGTTTTCTGGAAAGCTTTGAGGGACGTGAAGAGAGCCAGGCAGAAAAAGAGACATCCAAGAAGGGTGATGGTGGTGGAAGGCAGAAGATTACCTACCAAAGAGCTGGGAGCAGGGGCTGTCTTTGTGGTCCTGCTTCCATCAGCAGATCCAGCTGAGGTTGTGCATCCCTGAACAGGGTGGTTGAAGCTGGATGTGAGGGACATTGCTTTTCCTCTAGGAAATCATACTGATGATTTGAGTGCCTGGCATGGGGCGATGACAAAGTGTTTGTTCTCTCTTTCCAGTTCTGGCAGTACGGAGAGTGGGTGGACGTCGTGGTGGACGACAGGCTGCCCACCAAGAATGGGGAGCTGCTCTTCGTGCACTCAGCAGAGGGCAGCGAGTTCTGGAGCGCACTGCTGGAGAAGGCCTATGCCAAGTGAGTCGAGGCCATGCTTTCACCCCACTCAAATCTCCCAGTGCCTCTGTTTCCCCGTAGCATCCTCAACTGCATGGATGTGTCCTCAATTGCATGGATACTATGCATTATAAATGGCAGCCTCATTATTAGCCTTGACAGCTTCTGGGGTATCCTGCAATGGCTGCTTTAGTAAAACTTTGCTGACAGGTGATTAAGAAAAGTATCCAAAAGTACTGGTTTTGTTGCTAGCCAAGAAGAATAGCTCTTGCATCTCATGGCAAGGCTTTTCCTGGAGTGCTGTCTTCTGTCACCATGGTCTGGGAAGCTCCATTTCACGTGCTTTACACACCTGTGAGGGCTTGCAACTGCAGTACTTCAATGTGGAAAGCAAATCAGTGCACATGCCCAGGTCTTTGTTCAAGGTGAAAATGCTCAAGTTCAAGTTTCCAGTTTTGGGATGCCAAAGGAGGTTCTGCCATCTGACATTACTATTTTCAATTGACTTAAGAAATTGAGCTAATTTAGATAAGCTGAAAATCAGACCCATAATCATTAATGGGATTAAAAGACTGTGTGGAACTAGAGAGGCAAATTGTTGGATCTTGATTTTTAAAAAGTATTATTTTCCCTTCAAATAGTGTTCATGATTTTTGTCATTGATACCACTGAACCTGCAACCTGTGTTCATGGTCATGTAAGGTTTTATGCTGGACTTTCCAAATACAGAGTTCTAAAAAGCAAAACTGAATGGAGGGTGCATTTGTAGCTGCTATGGTACTGTTGAAAGCAGAAATGCTGTGACAGTTGGCATGACTGACTGCCTTTCTCCAAGAGAAGAAGAGGATAGGGAACCTGATGGTTGTGAGTGTGAGAAGAGGAAAATAGGGAGCCTGGTGGTTTTTTGTGTGTGTCCCCTTTTGTGCAGGCTGAACGGCTCCTATGAGTCTCTCTCTGGTGGCACCACCACTGAAGGCTTTGAGGACTTCACCGGTGGAATCGCAGAATGGTATGAGCTGCAGAAAGCACCACCCAACCTCTTCAGAATCATTCAGAAGGCACTTCAGAAAGGTTCCCTCCTTGGCTGCTCCATTGATGTGAGTTGGTGGGCTTATTGCTGGACACTTGGCTCTTGCTTTGAGTGTGGGCAGTTGGGTTGAAATGTAAACTTCATTAGTTCACGTGCAAAACTGCATTGCCTCCCCTATGTTTCTTTCTCAAGACCAGAGCTTTTTCTGTTTCATGGTTTCATGGTGACGAGTCATACAAGGAACTCATTAGGGGTCCTGATGTACATACTTGTTCTTAAGAAAGCCGGCAGCAGGTTGGTCCAGGCTGACTGGGTTTGGACAAAATAGCTTCTGCTAATGGCTCCTGCAGTCAGATGCTCAGAGGTGGCAACCTCCATCCTCGCCGTAGCATTCCTAAAAAATCTGGGCACTGTTCTTGAAGCAGGGAGGCTTGGACTGTTCCCAGGCCTTTAAAAGGCTTTACGAGAAAACATGTCATCAAAAGCTGAACCTGCAGAAGAAGATAAAAATGAGCTTTGACCCTGCCTGCAAAGATTCAACATTGCTTTTAGCCTCACTGAAATGAGTTTAAGTATTATTACTGAGATAATCACCCTACTCCCAAATAAGATTACATCTTAGTTAAGTCTAAAGGGAAGGTAAACTGTTTACAAAAACTGCATTCATAATATAAATACAAATGTTTCCTCCCATTTTTCAAATTAAATCAGAATCACAGGAGAGGGAAGTTTCACAGCAGGAGAAGTACTTGGTTAATGTCGGCACGTGACTTCACAAAACTTTTGATACCTATTTTACTCATTTACACTTAGATAAGAATCTGACATCTGGATTTTTGCCCCAGAATGATACAAATCTTTTGTTCAGGTGGGGGAGAGGGCAGAGAGTAAATATAATCTGTTGTTGGTAAGTGCTAACCCTTTCTATATTGTAAACTAATTATTAGTGAGTTTAGCCTTTGAAAAAATCCTGTAAAATCTTTCCTTCTCTTCTATCAGAGTAATAGGGACACACATGTTGAGCACTGCATGGAGAGCGTGCTGCAGGGCAGGAACAGGGCATGAACTGACAGCAGGATCCTGCCTGCTTGACTCACCTTCTCTTTCTTTTAAACTTTGAATATGCGTCGTTAAAGATCACACACTTTCTGAAATGCTGGGAAGGCAGCAACATACGTTTCACAGAGGTTTCAGCATTATTACATAAAGATGTCAAGTGGTCACTTTCTAGCAAGAAATTACTTTTCTCTGCAGTGTTTATAGGCTGGACTGCAAGTGTTGCAATGGCCATGAAAAGGTGAGACAGTGATATCCTTCCAGGTGTGAATGACATCCAAAATCCAGCCTTTTCCCTTGCTCCCCTGCGTGCAGTTCCTATGGTGGTGGTGCTGGGAAAAGGAAGGGGAAGCTCCCACCTCACTGCGGAGCCAAGCAGGGTGTGTTGACCTCGAAGCAAAGCACCGGGGCTTCCTGGACCTGGATGTGATGCCTGGGCAGCCGCAGGGTGGTCTCCTGCTGTGTTCCCCCCGGTTCCTTGAGAACGTGGAGTTCCTCACACGTGTCCCCTTTGTACACCGCTCGGAGATGCACAAGAGGGGATGTGCCACACTGAGTGTTTCGGAGCCAGGAGGGAGCAGGAAGCCACGCTCACCAAGCTTGTTTTTGTCTCCAGATCACCAGTGCAGCAGAGACAGAGGCAGTCACTTCCCAGAAGCTGGTGAAGGGACACGCATACTCGGTCACCGGGGCAGAGGAGGTAGGTGTGGTACCCCAAAGGGGTGACACGCAGCGTGGCACATGGCCTTGGCCGTGGCAGCCACGAGCTCATCTTCAGCAAATTCTCCCATCTCACTTGTTTTGCCAAATCATGTTTTGAAATCCTTTTTATTGAAGAAATACTGAATTAGTTGGTCTGTTTTGGATAAACACAAACTTGTGTTGACCAAAAAACCCTTTTGTTGTTTTCTTTTTTTTTTTTCGAAAGCACTGTTTCCTAGTGAGTGAGGTGGTGGCAAGCTCTGTGCTGAGGACACACCACCCTCTGCTGCTGACCAGGCTCCTCAGCACATTTCTGTGTAGCATGCAGCACTGTACCTTAACCACAGAGCACAATATGCGAGATATGTGTGCCAAGCAAAAAAAAAAAAATTATTATTGTCCTTTAAATGCCTGCCAAACAGCACCTTTCACCAGGGTATGGTGTTCCAACATAAAGTGTCTCAAGAGTAGGTGACTGGTGAAGGTAAGTGAAAGCAAAGGGAGCAGATTGTGGCATCCTTCCACGTGTATAATGGACTTTTGGTTACTTCACTGGTAATTGTTTCTGAAATAATTTCTGAAATTTCAGAGTGAGATGTAGAGAGCTGCTGAGGTCGACGCTGCTAACGGGCAGGCTTATGTGCTTGCATTTGATCCTCCTCTCGCAGCAAAGAAATTTGACTTTAATTCACAAACAGGCATGATATAGCCAGGCTTTTCTTGTGGAGGTTTGTGCTGGCTTTCTAAGGACAGTTCATCTTGGGCACCAGAGCATCATTTCTGGACTCTGTGCTGCTGCTGCTCTGCACAGTTGTCTTGACTTCGGGCTCTAAGGGGTGCACCAGTTCCTTCCTCAAATTATTGCCCTGTGTTCCCCATAAATACTGTGTGTTCCCACTGAAACTCCTGTGGCTCTGCTTGGCCTGCCCTCAGCGTGCACAGAGATCAGCAGATAACAAGAAGCCAGGGCCCCGGCACAGGGTGAGGAGAGACTGGTGCTGCTGCGCTGTGGAACGTTCGTGTGATTGAGGGGGTTGTGGCCAGACCGAGTGACCCATCTCTTGTTACAGGCTCATCTCATATATAGGGAAGGAAGAAAAAAGAACTCAAATGTGAAAAGGCAGTTTATACATAGATGACAACTTCAGAGAAGCACCCCCTTGTACCTGCTTTTTGGCAATCCCCTAGCACCTTTATGTTACCATTGCTTGAAATCCTACCAGATTTAACTTTTTTAGCAGCACATAACAGACATTTTGGTTATCAGTGGTTTTGATTTGCACATGCTGTAAACCTTCTTTGGACAAGCTTGGGTGCATAGAGCTTATTTAAAATCAGTTTGACTTCATGGCTTTTAGACCAAATGAGTGAGTGTGTATATACACTTCAGGGCTTGCATAGCACCGAGATACTCTGTCATGTTCTTTAATTCCCGTAGACAAGGTGAAAGGGAGCGCAGTGCTGAGTCCCTGGATAACTCTTCATACACTTCTGATCCCATCAGGTGAACTTTCGAGGAACGGTGCAGAAGCTGATCAGAATCCGAAATCCCTGGGGGGAAGTGGAGTGGACTGGAAAATGGAATGACAAGTGAGTTGATGGCTTGTGTGTTGCCCGTAGGCTTTTGCTGCAGGGATGTGATCAAGTTTCTGCCGACACCTGCCTTCTCCTGACTTCAGATTCCTCTCTAATTCACATCTGAATGTGATGTTCATTCTGAGCTTGTTTAAAAGGAGCATCCCACCACTGTCATCTCCCACGAAGGCATCACAGCATGTGGTGTCCTTCATACAAACACCTGCCTTCATGTAAGGTGCAGTCATTTGGTTGGTGGTTCCTACAAGCCCCTCTGTAGTTTGTGCTTCTCTGACAGCCCCGATTCAGTGGTGAGCTACTGAAAACTTGCTTTCTAAAAGGGCTTTAAAAATCCATTACTGTTGTTAGCAATGAAAGACGGAATTTACTTATTCCTGTATCTGGGCAATAGTTGTTCTGAGTCTTCCTTTTTCTAAAATAAAGCTCTGTCTCAGTCAAGGCAATAATACTGCCTGCAAATAAAACTGTTTCTGATCCTCACCTTTTTTATATTTAAGAAGTTTTTATATTTAAGAAGTGAGGTACGAAATATCCCAAGTCCCAGTGTTTTAATTCTGCTATGGTTTGAGAGCCCTGGAAATGCTATCAGCTAGATATTGTGGAGCTTTGCAATTGCATGGTCCTGTAAGAAACTGAAATCATTGTACCAGACCAGCTACATTAAGATTTAACCTTTACTGTACCTTATAGTTGATGTGGGGATGTCTTTCAGCTGCCCAAACTGGAGTGGTGTTGACCCTGAGGTGCGGGAGCAACTCACCAGGAGGCACGAAGACGGGGAGTTTTGGTAAGCAGCACTGGGTTTCTATTCAGGCTGAAGGGAATGTCTTCTCTTCTGTTGTTTTTTTTTTTCCCCACAGAAAGTAACCTCTCCCAGTGCAGTCTCCAAGATAAGTGAGCAAATTCACCCCAAGTCCTAGTGTTAAATCACAGTGGAAGAGAAATGAGAGTAGAAGAGATGGTTATACAGAAAAACTGTCCATCCTAAAGAGATGTTGCCTATGGCATTGCTTCCCACAGGATGGCGTTCAACGACTTTTTGAGACATTACTCCCGCCTGGAGATCTGCAACCTGACTCCAGACACCCTGACAAGCGACAGGTATAAGAAGTGGAGCCTGCTGAAACTGGATGGGAACTGGAGGCGAGGAGCCACTGCCGGGGGGTGCAGGAATTACCCGAGTAAGAGCACAGTCACCACTGTGATGCAGAAACCTTTCTTACTTGTCTGCTTATATTTTCTCTGGATGCTTTTTCTGGGAGCTGGTTTGGGGCAGCCTGTGGAGGATGAGGATGTACCTGGGATATACAGGACTGACGTCCAGAATTTGTAAATGTGTGGGAAATGTGGCTCCTGGATGAGGGTGAATTTGTGGTTAAAAAGGCTGGGGAGGGGAGTGTTCATTTTTGCTCCTCTCAGCTGATTTTGGAACTAAGAGCTGCATCAGTCCTAGCTGATGTGTATATATCTGCACCGTTGCTTTCAAAGAAGCCTCTGAGCATAAATCCTCTTTCCAGACACTTTCTGGATGAATCCACAGTATTTAATCAAGCTGGAGGAAGAAGATGAGGATCCTGATGATCCTGAGAGGGGCTGCACTTTCCTCGTTGGCCTGATTCAGAAGCACCGGCGGAAGCAGAGGAAGATGGGAGAGGACATGCATACCATCGGCTTTGCAATTTATGAGGCAAGTAGGGCAGTACGCATGCATGGGAGGAAAAGGAAAACTCCACCCTGCAAAGGAGGTAGTGCAATTCTCAGACTGGGCTTTCTACCAAATTTCAGCTGGCTTGAGCTGGACACCAGCTGTAGCAAGGAAAAGTTGTTTAAAAATCATCCTCCACCAAATCAGTGGTCAAGCACAGGGACAGGTGCCCAGAGAGATGATGGAATCTGCATTCCTGGAGATATTAAAGCTTAGACTGGACAAAGTCCTGAGCAACCTCATCTAACTTTGATATTGGCCTTGCTTTGATTAGGAGGTTAGACCAGATGACCCGCAGAGGCTGCTTCTCACCTATAATATTCTGTGCTTCTAAATAGAGGAGCAGAAGAAGTGTTTAAAACACAAAAATTAAAAAGTGCAGAAATCCAGTCCAACATTCGCTTGTCACGCTGTGGTGAAAAGTGGCAGATCAGCCATGGTAGGGATGTGGCAGTGGGACACATGTGCTGGCTTGCGGAGTGTGAATCCAGCAGCAGAATCAATATTTCTCAATATCCTGTGTTGGAAAAGCTTGTCAAAGAATCTGGTCCCTGTAGGCAAATAAGAATCATAGAATCATAGAATAGCCTAGGCTGGAAGGCACCTTAGAGATCATCTAGTCCAACCTCCCTCTCATGGGCAGGGATGCCTCTCAACTAGATCAGGCTACTCAAGGCTCTGTCCAACCTGGCCTTGAACCCCTCCAGGGAGGGGGCAGCCACAATGTCTCTGGGCAATTTATTCCAAAGTCTTGCCGCCCTTGTACTGAAGAATTTCTTCCTAAGGTCTAATCTAAATCTATTCTCCTTCAACTTAAACCCATTTCCCCTTGTCCTATCAGTGGACACTCTTGTAAAAAAGGTTGAAAGCAAAGTAGGTCCCCTGAACCTGTAAGGAAATAGAAAACTGCATTCTTGCCTTGCTCAGCCCCTGCCTCCTCTCCTGATGGTGGAGAGGTCAAAGGGGCAAGAGGGTGAAAGAGAAAGAGGGTGAAAGAGAAAGACTCAGTGAAACTGAGTCTACAAAAAAATCACAGTGGAACACAGGGAGGAGGGTGAGCAGGATACCACGACCAGCCTGGCTGCATCTGTGCCCACGCTGCCCTGGCTGAGCCTCACCTGCCGTCAGGATGGGGCTGGGAGCTGAGCCAGCAGTCAGCCTTGAGTGGTGTGGGCTCAGCATTCACCTTTCCCTTAAAACTAAGTCTTTTTTTCAAGAGTGTGGCAGGATAAGAATTAGCCCTGGCGCTGCCTTTCACCAAGCAAATAACTCTCTCCATTTCTCCTTGCAGGTGCCCCCAGAGGTATGTAGCATGCAGTGGTGATGAAGGTGCAGAGTTGGGACTGAATGGCTTGTGGGAAAAAAACTTTTCAGAGGATCCTTCACTGCAGGACAATATTGGCTGTGCAGAGTCTAAAGTTAGAGGCTATTTATTCTGGAAGGGGTCTTGAGCCCAAGTTGCATTCCCAGAGTGTCTAGAGTTGGAATCCACCAGTACAGAGAGTACTGCAGAAGCTCACCAAAGCTGCTCTTCCATGGGTCTTCTCCCAGCCCAGCCCCACACCTGCTCCCCCAGAGAACAGCTGCTTTTCTCAGGTTTGCACAGAGTTCCTGTGTGACACACAACTACTATTCCAAGAAGGTGTTTATTTTCATTTCCCTAAGCACCGTCTTCATTGGTTTCTCTCTGTTTCTACCTGCAGGAAGCTAATAGTGTGCCCTGGGGGTCAGAGACGGGAGGCAAGGCAGTGATGCCTGTGCAATAGGAGGCAGGGCTGCAGACGCCTCTGAGCTGTTGCTCCTCAGAGGAACTGGTGAGGCTGAGCAAAATGCCAGAGTAACCTCATTACGGGGTTTGCTGTACCTGCAAGGGTGGCTCCTGGGCCTAAGCTCAAACCAGCTGCTGTTATGTAAAATGCTGTTTCATCAGGAAAGGAAATGGTGCTACCAGTTAATTAAATTTCTTGTGTAGCTTCTGAACACCTCAGCAGTACTCTGTCAGCTGCTCAGCTCTCACCCAAGTGGTCCAAAAACCTGATTTCCATAAAAAAGAGACTAGCTACAGTCCCGTGACTTTTCCCCAAAAGGTGGAATTTTATCTCCTACCATTGCAGCAGGTTTGACAGGTTTTGAATTCTTAAAAATCTGAGAAGACAGGAAGGAGGAGGTTTCTGAACCATACATGTTCCTGATGTTTGCTTCTAGCTCTGAGCCCTGGGCAGAAGAGTTTGTTCTGGAAGATTTTACACTCCAAATATGCTTTTATAATGCATAACATTTATTCTACTCCCTGCCTTAAGGCAGCCTGACCTCAGAAGCAGAGCTGAGCTGCTGTTCCCTGGTGGCAGCAGTTCTGGGGACCAGAAGGACACAGGTCATGAGCTACCTCACTTTAAAGAAAAATGGTTGGTGGAAGAATTTGCCAGATGTCTTCACACACCCATTTTCATCTGCAAAACATTTGGATGACCCGAAAGATCTACTGGGATGATCTGCAAAATACATCTGCAGCTGTGGCTCAGGAGTAGTGTGGTGGGATGCACTTTTCCCATACATAGCTAATTGTAATATCTATTATATTTTTAATTTGTAAATGCAAATACATGCAAACTGTGGGGTTTTGTGGTTTTTTTTCTTCTCTTGTATTGCTTTTCCTAAGTTTTCTGGCCAGACAAATATTCATCTGAGCAAAAACTTCTTCCTGACCAACAAAGCAAGAGAAAAATCAAACACCTTTATCAACCTCCGAGAAGTGCTCAACCGGTTCAAGCTCCCTGCGGGCGAATATATAATCGTGCCCTCGACCTTTGAACCTAACAAGAACGGAGATTTCTGCCTGCGAGTCTTCTCTGAGAAAAATGCAAACTCCACGTATGTAGCTTTTTTTATAACCCTGTAAGAGTAGTATGGGCACACGGGTGGTCTCTGGTCACTCTTGGAGGTGTAGAAGGATGGAGCAGCCCACGTCTGGGGTACATCAGCTTCCTGCGGGCAGCAGGAAGGGGGAATATGCAACTGCCCTGTGTGGGTTGTGCCAGTTCTTGTTTGCCCCCAGTTTCCCCACAGGCAACTGACAAAAATTTGAGTAAACTTAGCAGGAAGAAATGGTGAAAGAAAAATAAAAATAATAAGTAAAACAATAAGTATAATATAACAGTTCTTGGTGGTATCGTTATTACCACCAGCCCTACCTGGGCAGGTAGCTTTAGTTGCAACACACTGATGGCAACAACTGATCTCGCACTTTTGAGATCAGGCTGGAAAAAAAGTCAAGATATTTACTCAACCAGATGTTACCTTTGCTAAAATTAAAATGGGTTTTAGTGGAACTGGCTCAAACCAGCCCGTTAGCTGTGAAGCCATGAAAATATTTATGCAGGTTGCATCTCAAAGAGCAGCTGGGCTAAGGCCTTGCGAAGGGGTGTGGGTTCTGTCATACTGAGATCCCTAATTCAAAGGAAGCAAAAAACCTTTCTGCTACGACAGGGAGGTTGGACTAGATGATCTCTAAGGTCCCTTCCAGCCTATGCCATTCTATGATCTATGATCTATGATCTATTCTGTAATTTTCTGTGGCCTTTTTCTGTAGCAGTGAGAAAACAAGGGCATCAGTTGTGTGAAGGCGCATTCAGTTTTTGATGGGCCCTCAGCAGTGCTTATGGCTGTAGGTGTGATGTTCCCCCAGCAGCTGGGGGACAGTGTGAAACACTTCTCCCACTCTGGCACGTCTGAATGACTTTAAGACTCGCTTTTTGCTGTTTTAAAGGAAAAAATAAGGAAAAAGAAAAAAAAGTGACTACATAAAGTTGGATTTGCACCCAGGAGCCTGGTTCTGGGCTAAGATCTGTAGGCAGTGGCACCAAGAACCCAAAGGGTTACGTCTGACCCAAAATTTCGTCTGTGGCTGTGCAGGACGTTGCACAGTTTGCAGTATGTTTTAAAACTCCTGTTGCCATAGCTGGCAAAATACTGCTTTCCCTGTGGTATATGGCGTCTGTGGCTGATGAACCTGGTAACTTTTGAACACTCATCATTATTCCCCTAATGTAAAGAATCTCTCTTTAACTGCAACTTGAAGGAAGGGCATCAGAAAAGTCACTTGGTTTGGTTTTTAATATTGATTTCTTTATCTTTCTAGGGTTATAGATGATGAAATTGAGGCCAATTTTGAAGAGGTATTTCTTAAATGTTTTAAATGGAGATAATTTTGTCCTAAGTAAGTGGGGTTGGCGTGCCTGTTCCCTGTGCAGGGTAGCTTTTTTCTAGAGGCAGTATCAAGAACTGTTGTCCCACGTTGGAAACAGACCTTTGACTATCCATAGTTGAACCTCCAGCAAATGGGAACTTCATAAGGAATAATGGAAACGTGTGTTGTCCTTTATCCGGAGCAGTGAGCTTGGGCTTCCTAGGTAGAAGAGATCAAGTACCCTCTACAGAGGTAACTGGAGCCACAGGATATTCCCTTTTGCTGCCCTTTAGCCATAGGTTCTGCACATGACACTGTTATCATGGCTAGAAGTGGTTTGCCCTATATTTAGTCTTGCTGGAGACGGGGATATTTTGCCTACTAATGCATCTATGCCTCTGTATTATAAAACTTACGTTTTGCTTTCTTTCAGTGAAGACAGTCCATCAGTAGTAGTAGCAGCAGCAATAGGAAATCCTGAATTTGGTAGTGATTTTTTAAATACAATAAAGATATTTTCAAAAACATATTTTTCTTTTAGTAAAAGCCCTTGCAAAAGTTCTTAATTCCTGCCGTGTTTGCAATGCCAGCATCTTGAGGCACCCTTGAAAATAAAATTGATTAAAATCAAAGTAAAAGCACTCTGTACCTTCAACTTTGCCATTAAAATTGTTTTCTATTAGAAGCAAGGAAATGCATTAAGTCTTTCTCAGGCAGAAAATTTCCTCCTTTCCATAGTCTCTGTTTCTCTCTTCTAGACCGAGATCAGTGAAGAAGACATTGAACCCAGCTTTAAAAAGGTTTTTGGACAGCTAGCAGGAAGCGTGAGTATTTTTCTGTTAACACCTTACCCACTTGTTACCAAGCAAGAGAGACGTCTCCCCTAGGATAGAGTTTAATTCTTGTGCTGAGTCACATCCCAAGCATGTGCATAATTGTGCGTGCAGAAATCTGTGTAGTTACCCATCTGCTTACACAACAGATTTGTGAGCGCTCCTGGCAAACTATCTTCACTCCCTTTGAAATGCAGGCTCGACTTTTATCTCTGCAGGTCTCTAAATTCTGTCCTTTGGGCAGAGCGTTTGGTGCAGGTGTGTGGGTCCCCTTGGGAGATGATGAAGGCTGGGCTGTGCCTTCTCCCCAGGCTGCTCTTGCCTGCCTGAGGCCCAGTGTGCCCATGCCTGGGAATTGGTGGTGCTTCTGGGAACAGGAGGTGTAAAGACCTCACCACGTGCTTCCATCCAAGGGAAATGAAGTCCAAGGAGTGTTTGAACTTGGCTAACTCTCCCAAAGGAGTCGGATGCTGTCTGCAGCTCCCTGTGAAAAACTTTCTTCTCTTTTCTGCAGGATGCAGAGATCTCCGCCTTTGAGCTGCGCAACATCTTGAATAAAATCATGGCTAAACGTGAGTATCTTCCTCCAACTGCGGCTTCAGTTGGCCACCAGTGGGTTCCCAGCATGGCTGTGAGAGCACAAAGCGCACCACTGAGCAGGGCAGGGTTGAAGCTCTGCCCCAGACCAGCTTGGTTCTCCTACGGCCACAGCCACGTGCTGCCTCTGCTTCTTCAGGGGGATGCAGAAGCACTGGGGCTTGCTGCACTGAAGGTGTGTTTCCCAGGACATACGCTTTGGCAGGCTGCATGTGGATGCCTTTTAGCCCATCATCTGCTACTGGGAATTGGCTGCCAGGAAGGCGAATGGATTTGAGTAATGCTTGATAATAATCAAGAGAAGGTACTGCTGCTGCTTTAGTGTTGAACCACTCAGGATTCAAACAGCAGCCCAGCCAGCAGTCTGGGATGTCCTTGAGGAGGAGGAGAAACTTTGAAACTCTAGGCTGCTTTTTCTGTGAAGCGATTCAGAGCTTGGCTCTGCATCATTTTCCTTTCCATTGAACAGCGCTTAAGAAATCAGTGCTTGGAGAAGTAAGTGTCTCCTTAATTTCCAAAGTGAAATCTTAGCCAGGTAGGCAGGACTGTGCTCTCTGTCTGTCTGCACCAGCCAGTTAGCAATGCTTTATTGCTGGTTACCAAGCTTGACTTGATGTTCTTTCGTACCACTTGATGTTCTTTGCTACCTACGACTGACCTGCATAGGTCAGAACTCCATGTTGACTACAGAAGTCCATCCTTGTCTTTGCAGGCAGACAATAAAGACAGGAGGGCTTTATCTCTGTCTCTTGCTTTTGTTGCACACTGACAAACTAAACTAACTGGGCTGTTTGCTTGGGGAAACATCACAGCTAACTTTCACGCTACACCTCTTCATCAGTTGCAAAGGAAGCCACCAATGACATGGAAGCAAGTAAGGGCTGATGTGCGTACGCTGCCTGTAGACCTCATGAGCTATATGGGAAGGTGCTGTGCTACAGCATGCACAAAATCACTCTAGGGGAGTCCCTCCCTCAGGGGTCAGTGCTGCCACCAGTGCTGTTCAATATATTCTTCAATGACCTGGATG